AGAGGTGGGAAACCCCAAGGGAAAAGCCGCACGAACCCGTCGCACCCCAGTGCCGGGGCAGAGAGCGGACCGCGGCTCGGTGGCAAACCCCGCAGCGGGTGACAGTGACAATGACAGTGACCGCCGCCGCTGCTCCCGCCCGCCCAGCCCCGCGCCACAGAAACGCCGCCCGGCCCGCACCGCCCGCCGCGTCCCCATGACCTTCCCACCGGGACACAGGCGGGGCCCGGCAGCACTCCGCACTGCGGGGCCGCCCGCGGCCCGGCCGGGCTCCCCCCCGCGCTGCCCCCGCGGGGCGCGGTGACTCACGGCGGGGCGCGGGCCCCACAGCAGCGCCCGCCCGGCCGCGCTGCCCGCCCGGCACACCGAGCGCGCCGCCATCTTCTTCTTCTTCCGCTGGCCGACGGCCCCGGCGCCGCGCGCCTGCGCACAGACGGGCCGGGGCGGGGCCGGGGCGGCGAGCGGCGCGCCAGACCGGCGGGCGGGACGCCGCGCCCCCTGGTGGCGGGAGGGCGCGGCGGTGGGGCGCGGGCGGGGCCCCGGGAACGGCGGTCCCGGGAATGGGGGTCTGGGAATGGGGGTCCCGGGAACGGGGATTCCGGGAATGGGGATTCCGGGAATGGGGATTCCGAATGGGGATTCCGGGGGATGGGGGTATCGGGAATGGGGATCCCGGGAATGAGGGTCCCGGGGATAGGGATATCGGGAATGGGGGTCCGGGGAGTGGGGTTATCGGGAATGGGGGTCCGGTAAATGGGGTTATCGGGAATGGGGGTCCGGGGAATGGGGATCCTGGGAATGAGGGTCCCGGGGATGGGTATATCGGGAATGGGGATCCCGGGAATGAGGGTCCGGGAATGGGGGTCCGGGGAATGGGAGGCCCGGGGGATGGGGATATCGGGAATGGGGATATCAGGAATGAGGGTCCGGGAATGGGGGTCCCGGGAACGGGGATTCCGGGGATGGGGATCCTGGGAATGAGGGTCCGGGGAATGGGAGGCCCGGGGATGGGATATCGGGACTGGGGGTCCAGGGAATGGGGGTCTCGGGGAATGGATATGTCGGGAATGGGGGTCCTGGGAATGGGGATCCCGGGGGATGGGGATCCTGGGACTGGGGGTCCCGGGAATGGGGATATTGGGAATGGGGGATCCTGGGAATGGAGGTCCTGTCATGAGAATGGGGGTCCCTAGAAAATGGTGAGAACAGGTTCTGGGGCATTTGGGTCCCGCAGTGGGGAAGAGGTTTTACAGCGACTTCTGTGAGCCAGAGAGAAGTTTGGTAAGAGGATCCATGTTAACCCCTGAAAGAATTTTCTACCAAGGTTCCTTGACACAGAACCCAAGAAGGAAAGAAGGATAAGTAAGAGAAACCTACAAGTGTCTCTTCCAGTAAGTGCTTTGTTTTTCTTTCCTGATCGATGAGTAAAGTGTAAACATATGAGTTTTGTAAGAATGTATAAAAAGCATGCATGCTATAATAAAACCAGGTTTGAAGCCTCCTGAAAACGGAGTGTTGCTTTATATTGTGACCATCTCAACTACAGCACCATGGAATGAGCATTCCAGGAATAGGAGTCCAAGAGAGTGGATATCCCGAAATGGGCATCCTGGGCATTCTCAGAGGGACGAATGACAGCACAGGAGTGTACAATCTTTTTTCAATTTTTACGCAGCAGTGAAGCCAGCAACACGGCTAACACCTTAAAATTAACACAAGTCCTCCAAGGGGTATTTCTTGCCAAACACAAGGACTTCCTTTTGTGTTTGAAGGTTTGAAATATTTAGCTTTGGAAAATCAATTCATTTACAAATATAACTGCAGGAGGGAGCCACCATTCTTAGAATTACTGGTATAACCTTTAGTTGGGATCCATTCTTGTGAAGCACATTTTAGTCTTGTTCCGTAAGAAAACAGGCATTGTTGTGTGGGTTTGGTGAAAAACATCTTAAATGTGCTCAGAATAGAATTAGAATCCAAAAGAGAAAGTTTTTAAGGAAAGCCTGAGATATTGCCTGTGATGAGATCCCTTCTAAGAGGTTCACTTAAGGGACTCATTGCTCCATCTGAATACTGGCAGATTAGTCAGAGGAGAAAAACAATATTTTTTAATGGTCCATTGGGAAGACAGGGCTTGCAGGGAATTTGGTACTTTCTGGTCTATTGCTTATATTCCAAGAAAGAGTACTAAATACTGAAACAACCTGTGGAAGATGAAGTGATTGTAAATGTGAAAGTCCAGTTCATGGCAGTCTCAGAAAGGAACCCATCAAAGCCCTTGAAATCCCAACACACAATTTGTGGGTTGGCAGTGTATGCCAGCTGTTACCAAATCACAGAAAATTGCAGATTACAAAAAGTGGCCATTAGGTCAGATACAGAATGAAGCAATATGCATCAGCAACAACCCTGGTAAGTGGTATTAGCAATGACAGTATTCTTACTGACATTAGCAGAAATTTGCAATGAGTCTATGAAAATTACAAACTAGGTAAAAGAAAACGGGACTGATGACTATTTTGGCGTAGTGTTTCCTAACAGGGAGTTTCAAAATGTAAAGATTGTATCAGCCTTTAATCTGAAGGAAGATATTAAAATTACAGTAAGGAAAAGGCATCAAACGCTAGAGAACCTAGACAGCATAGTTATAGACAGAAATGCCACTGACACACTGAGAAAATGCACACCAATGCAGCAACATGGTACTAAACCCCAGAAATGTCCACTGCTTCACTGTCTGGCATTTCATTAGTATGCACATAGCAGCTTTGCCACATTTCTACTGACCCCCTTCTTAGCAAACCACTAGTTTCTTCAGTGCCAAGATTTTAGGTACATGATCGTAGCAATACATATCTATTCCCTTCAAGTGAAACAAATTGCGGAGAGAAAACCCTGTCTGAGATGTTCAGTCATTCCATTTTCTAGACAGACTAAATAAAAAGAAAACCAAGCTATAGGATTGTGTACTTGCTATTACAAAACACCTGCTGGCATCTCAAAATAAGCTAGCAAAAAATCAGCATAAATGACACGTGGGGCAAACAACCGTTTTAAGAGAATAATGGTGTGATAAATAAAAACAATAGATTTCCAGGCTATTGAGGTACTTCAGAAAAGGATTGAGAGCAGAGGCTGAACTAGTGGGAAAAGATTAGAGGAATCCCAAGAAAAACACGACCAAAAATCCTGAAAGATATGGGCAACTGACCTGTTTAAACCTTCAGGAAATCAGTGGCCAGTGATTTAGACAGATGATTAAAGTAACTTGCAGGCAATTTGCACCTTCTCCTCCTTTCTCACCCCTCACCATCACAGGGTGAATTGTGACCATGGAGTCAAGGTTATTTGGATTGTATTTTTAGCTTTAGGAGAGAAGTATAGCAGCTGAAGTACTTATTACTGATATGATACCCAAGAGCACAGATTTGACACATTTCATTCAAGTCCAGTTACAAATATTACTACTAAGAGGATAGGATTGGTCTTTTGCATTACACTCTTCTTGTTTTACAGCCTGCTCTGATCCTGGTGAAACTTTTTAAATGGTTCTCCCTAAAAAGGAGGAAGTCAAATTAAACCTCCCTTCCTATTGGTGCAGGTTTCACTTTTTGTTTGTTGAGCCTAAAAATGGAACTGGAACTAGCAGGAATGACTGTATTTAAAGTGTCCTGACTTTAAGACCATCTCAGTTTGATAAAAGCCTACATGCTATTGACTAAAGAATACTCTGTTTCCCCCAAGAAATTTAAGCAAAGTTTCTTGTAGTAAACCTCAGTTAATACAAAAGAGTCACAAATAGCAGGAAGACTTATTTCACCATTTAGGGAACCAACCTTCTCACCTTCTTTTGGGGAAAGCATCATCTGGTAGCTGAAGTAACAAACTTGAAAACATAAATCTCCCCAATACTGAGAAGCTGCTGACACAGGAACCACCAAAGCTCTGTGACTTTCTCCTTTACATTCACCAGTCAAGCTTAGAAGTCTAAAATTGACTGGGTCAATCAAAAACAAATGCTAACCTAGACAGAGGTCTATGAAAAGTCCAAAAATAATCTGAGTTCTTCTTAGAAAATGAGAAATGGAACCAGAACTACCAATCTGGTTACTTGCAACATATCCCTAAAACTTACTCCCTTCTATTCATCCTTAATATATAGCCACTGGTACAATCAGGAAAAGATGAAAGTTATTAATGTCAAGCAAAGGAAGGACAATAAGGAACTATTCCTATTAATCATCATATAGGCAGTAACTCTATAATTAAAGGCACAGAAACAGAAAAAAAATTAATAAATCCTAGATATTGAAATTGTGGAACCATCTTTACTCCCCAAAACCCAGTATCAGCCTTCTCTTGACAGCAAGCACTTTCCCCTTTGGTGTAGGTATGACTGCAGCCACCAGGTGCTGGTGGCCCAGCACCCTTCTGAGCCTTCTGAGGATGGGGAATCCTGCCCATATGGCTCCCTTGGGCACAGCCCCACGGGCCCAGAGCAGGTCATGGCCAGAAGTGGCAGAAAAGAGCCAGAGGGAGGGTGCTGGGGAGCCCAGCCGCAGGGAAGCCGTGCCCAGCAGGGCCGGGGCGCAGCGGGGTGGTCTGGCCCAAAGAATCTTTATCGAGGAAAGGGCATCGAAAGCAACCCTGGGGAACACCACGGAGCTTTATTCATGATGCCAGCCCGCTGCTGGGAGCAGGAACCCTTTGGCCCCTCCACCACCCCCCAGCCACATCCTGGCCAGGTGGGGCAGGTCCGTGCTGGGGCAGTGTGGAGGCTCCAGGCAGCCCCTCGGCGTGACAGCCAGCAGCAGCCCCGGCCAGCAGCAGCCCCACCACAGCAGGGCTCATGGACAGGGTGAGCCCCAGCACTCAGAGTCCAGAGGGGCTGGTGGGAATCTGGGCATCTGGGCCCCAGGGTGGCCGAGTTGGTGCCATCAGGGTGGCAAAGCCTTCCTTGCCTGCCCATCTCCTGGGGAAGACATCTTCCTCTCGAGGGGCTACATCCTGGTGCTGTGGTCCACCTAAGGAGGGCAGACAGGGAGAGGTTGGTGTGGCTGCCCTCTCCATCACATGCTGGGGACAGCAGGGCTGGGTGCTCACCGAGGCCTGGTGCCGCTCCCTGCTGATGTGCACCACGGCATCATGCACCGAGGGGAAGAAGGAGTGCTTGGTGATGGTTGAACTGAAGAAGTTGCCCTGCTCCAGCTGGGCCAGGACAGATACTGTGTGGAGGGATAAGTATCTAAAGAGATGGCACCTAGCTGAGCCCCCTGCCACCCACCCGGAGCAGTGTCCTCCCGCCTCCTGTGTTGTGGGGGACACCAGGGTCACCACCAGGGACCCAGCTTCGAGACTCAGATTGGATCCATGGGACAACCTGCAGCACCCATCCCCTGGGGAAGCCCTGGGGATGGGAGCACCACGGAGGGACCCCCCAGGCTATCAGCTGTGTGCCATGGGCTGGCCATGCCCGGCCGGGGCTCATGACTCTGCAGATCCCCCTCACCCGGACAGCTGGCAATGAAGACATCCACTTCTATCTCACGGAAATCCCTGAAGATCTGCAAATGGGAAAAAACATTTTACCCAGGAAAAGGAATGGGCAGCAGCCATCAGGGCACCCCAGAGGGCCCCAGAAACACCATCAGCGAGGCTGCTGTCCTGCCTGCTCCCCAGCCCCTTACATTCTTCAGGATCTTGATGGAGACGGTGTCCACAAAGCTGACGGGGCTGAAGTCCAAGATAACAGCGGAGAAGCTGGGCTGGGGCAGCCCTAGGCTGCGCAGGGTGGGCTCTGAGGGTGCACTGCTCTCTCCTGCACTCAACTCAATCACTGCCAGGCCTGGACCGTCCCCTGCATTCTGGGGAAGGGAAGGAGACCCGGTGTTATTGCTCCAGGAATGGCAGCACCCTGGGCATGGCAGTGTCCCCCAGGCTCACCCTGGTGAGGCGCTGTGGCTGTATGAGGGCACAGGCAGTGGGTGGCCCCAGGAGAGGGTGCCCCTCTTACATCTTCACCAACTTTTGGGCTCTTTTCAGATGTGTCAAAATCCACCCCTCTCCCCAGCACCAAGAGTGGTGCAGAACTCTGCAGAGTTGGGCTCATTAGCTGGCACCAGGCCACCCTTTGCCCTTGCTCTTAATTCTGATTAACTTGCAAAAGGTTAATGACTTGGCAGCTCTAACACATAATCATTAACAGCCCAGCTTTCCTACCAGCCTTGGGGGGTGTGACTCAGTTCAGTCCAAGTGCCTTTCTCACCCATTGGCCCTAAACAGAACTGGGAACTGTGTGGGCCACCAAGCCCCACCAGTGCACTGACAGAAGCGTCAGAGCCAGGGAGGGAAGAGGTGCAGGATGTCACTGGATGTCCCCTGCATCAAGGAAGCACCTTTTTCTTCTTTGCCTTTTCCTTCTCCAGTTTCTTCTGCTGTTTCTTCAGCTTCTTGAGGGCCTTCTTCTTCTTCTCAATCAGGCGGTCCACATCAATGCCGCTCTGCAAAGCAATGTGGCCTCGTGTCCCCAGCTGCCCCAACACCACCCTGCTGCTGGCAGGCAGGAGATATAGGATGCACTCTGAGGCTGGTGGCTCTCCTACCTTTTTCTTCAGGGCCTCGGCATACAGCTCCACGTTGGCAAAATAGATGGTTGAGGAAGAGCGGAAAATCTTCACGCCAGGGACCTCCTGTGCCTGGGGACAGATGGGGAGGGTGCTACTCCAGGGATGGAGCCACCTGTTCCCCTCCTCCCCAAAAAAATGCCCCCAGCCCCTCTTTCCAGTGAGCCACTACTGGAGATGCTTTGAACTGCCCCCCGCTGCAGGCAGCTCTTCCCCCACCCCTGGTGCTGTTACCATCTCGTATTCCACCACATCCCTGTAGACATCGGTGTCAGAGATGCGCCCCAGGATGGAGTAGTGCGGGCTGAAGGGAGGAGAGCAAGGGACTGAGGTCACCACAGGCTCCTCCTGCCCTTGGGATGTGGCACTGACCCCAGCCCCGGGGTACTCACAGCTGGGTACGGAAGATGACCGTGAGCAACCCAAATGCCACCGAGGCCGCCAGGCCGATGTCCAAGTTCAGCAGGAGGGTGGCTATGAATGTCACAACCCAGACCAGCTGGAGAGGGGACACAGTCAGCTGCAGCACAGCCTCTCCACTGGCACCTACAAGCCTCAGGGAGGGTGGAGAAATCATCTCCAGGAACAAGAGCACAGCCCCAGGGCTGGCCAGCACCTTACCAGGTCCACCTTGTTGGACTTCCAGAGAGTGCTGAGGTCCTTGAACTGCTTGAACATGCCCTTGAGGTTGACAATGATGATGGCAGCTAAGATGGCCTAGGAGAGAAATCTGCAGCTATGAGGAAGCTGAGGGCAAATCTCTTTGCTGCTCCCCTACCATGTCACCGTGCTGTGGGACAGCCACAGGTGTGGGATGTGACACTGAAGCTGTGGGACTAGATGTACCTTGGGCAGGTCCCGGAAGAGTTCTCCAATCTTCACAATGGTCACCAGGATGACCAGGGATGCGATGACACCAGCTACCTGTGCAGAAGGAGAGCGGGAGGCCAGGGGTGAGCCCCCACTGCTCACTGTGCCTCCTGCCCCTGGCTCAGCCCCAGAGAGGGAGGCAGCACTGCCCAGACTCACCTGGCTGTTGCCCCCTGTGCTCTCCTGTACCAGGCTCCTCGACATGGAGCAGCTGATGGCAAAACACTGGAAGAAGCCTCCTAGGAAGTTGCAGAGGCCCAGTGCAATCAGCTCCTGCAGGGACAGAGTAGTGGCAGGGGAGCACCATGCTTTCATCTGGCTGCAAGAAGGGCAACATTAGCTTTCACCCAGGGTGGGGGCCCAGGGCATCACCTGGTTGCTGTCCACTTTGTAGCCATGTTTCAGGGCAAAGATTTTGCCCAGGGAGATGCAGATGGCGTAGCCTACCACAGCAATGGCAAAGGCATTGCCCACCACCTGCCCAAAGTAGCTCATGTTAGGGACCACAGGTGGCTTCAGCCTACATTCAAGAGAAATGGGGCTCAAACAGGGATGCTGTGGGCAGCACGGTGCCCTGGCACAGCCCCCTTCACCGTCAGGCCCTGCTCACCCGCTGGGGATGTTGCCCACCACAGAGATGCCAAACTTTTCTTTCAGGTTGACCCCATAGGAGATGCCGGTGGAAACGATGATCTGGGGGAGAATAACTGGAATGAGGCAGGGTCTTCCTGCACAGGGACTGTGGTGGGGGAACAGATGCGCTGGAGCAGCACTTGCCAAGGAACCCAATCCCACTGTCCCCGCCCTGAAGGGGACAGGGATACACCAGGGATTCCTGGATGCATCCCCCAGGAGGTTGGGGCAGCTCTGGGTACCGTAATAAGCTCGATGGGGATGGGCATGGGCAATTTGGCAGCAAACTTGTGGTTGAGCTCCTTCACAATCAAGATGGCCACCATGGCAATGATGGAAGTCACCAGGGTGCCCACATTGGTGTCTGGCAGCTTCTTGCAGAGATCGATGACAGTCTAGAAAACACAGGAGGAGGGAATGTGCTCAGGAGAGCAGATGCCTCCCCAGTAGGTTTTTGGAGGCCTCTATGTGCCCCACAGGTGAGCACCAGGGGTCCTTGGGTGCCAGCAAGCCTCCACTCACCACAAACAGCGAGAGCGGCCCCGAGTGCTCGCTTTGGGAGACTCCAAAAACATTTTTGAGCTGGGAGACGAGCACGTGCACAGAGGCAGCAGTGGTGTAGCCACGCACCAGTGGGTCTGAGAGGTAGGTCACCACAAATCCAAACTGCAGGAGCCCCAGGAGCACCTGGAAGAATAGATGGCAGAAATGTCCCACAGGTTACGGTCTCATGTTCTCTGCTAGACTAGGCTGGGACCACCTTACCTGGAAGATACCCGTCAGGACAGTGATGGTGGCCACCAGCTCCACCCTGCGAGCGTCGCGCAATTCCTCATTGACCGTTGCATTGCTGCCATTGACGGACTCCAGGAAGTCCTCGCTGGGCATCAGGGATTCTGTCAAGCTCCCAATCATGACAGAGATGACGGCAAAGGGACCTGAGAACAGGCAGAGTGTGGGCAGGGATCCCAATGTGGGCACTAGGACCTCTCTGAGAGGACCTCCTAAAGGGTCAGCTCCTCTCTCCTTAGGCCAGGCTCAAAGCAAACACACTATACTTTGTCTCTGGCTTGGCCAACCCCCTTCTTGGTAGAGCAAAGAAGAGGCAAGAAAGGTCCCCCCAGCTGTTGGTGTGGTAATGCAGCACCATGGACCTCCTTGCTCCCTCCCCACCATTGCTGTGCAAGCACATGCTCCCTCAGCTCACCCACGGAGTTGTGCCTTGACGTTCCGAAGAAGAAGTAGAGGAAGACGGGATAAAAGGAGGAGTAGAGACCCGTGACTGGCGGCAGCCCAGCCAGCAGTGCATAGGCAAGCCCTAGAAGGTGGAGAAGAGAGAAATGTCACCGATGATCAAACCCTAACCACCCCACCTGTGGTGGGCCCCTGGTAGGCTGGGCATGGCATCACTCACCCTGGGGCAGGTGCATGATGCCCACACTGAAGCCTGAAACAATGTCCCCCAGGAGCCAGTCCTTGATGGGGTAGCGGGGCAGCCAGCGCAGGAAGGGCAGGAAGCGGAACAGCAGGGACTTGGCAGCAGAGCCCGAGCATCTGGTGGGGAGGGAGCAGGAGCTGAAGTTGAGCACGAGTGCAGGGGGCTTGGGACATCAGTGAGGGTGGATGAGGCCCCATGGGAGGCAAGGGGATCTGTGGGACCATCAGCTCCATCCACTGGAACCTGGTGTCCTCAGCAGGGCAGGAGGAAGGGCAGGAGGCAGGGAACAGTTATCTCAAAGATCACTGGCTGGTTTTAATAAACAGGAGGAAGCAGAGCATGCACCTGACTGGTGGCTCCAGGCAGGAGGACAGAGTGGGGACATGGGTATCTGGGCAAAGGGAAATGAACCCCCAGGTCTGCAGCTCCCTGTGGTGGTGGGGCTGGGGTGTAGAATAGGGCAAGGTGGGGCACACCTTGTGTGGAGCAAGGTCCAGGCACATCCCACTGGCCACATGGTCTTACCTGGTCTTGTGGAGACAGCCACGCAAAGAGGGCTTCGTGGGAGGTTTCCTCCGTGCCACCTCCTCCAGTTCAGCCTCACTCAGCACCTCACGGGGCGCGCGGTGGCTCAGGGCCATCTCTGCTGCCAAGGCCACCTGCCTCTCCGGAATGCCAGTCCACTGCAAGGACACAAGGGACAGCTCAGCCGCATTCCCACGGTCAGGGGCAGCCAGCATCCCACCCATCCTAAAGCCCCTCCTCCAGCTCCACTTGGCCACAGAACCATCCCATCCTGTCCAGGTGGACAGGAATGGCCCTGAGGATAGGCATGAGCCGAGTTTTGGGAGTCCTGAAGCAGCAGCACTGGCTCAAAACGGAGTGCAGTAGGCAGTCAGCAGGAGGGCAGGGAAGGCTTTGGCAATCAGTGCTGCCCACTCCTGCCCCACAGCAGCCCCGTCCACCCCATCCACTGAAATGCACGAGTGGGGTCTGCCAGCAGAGCTGCCCTGGGGGGGCCCCTTCTCCACCTGCCCCCGCAGGACCCACCTCGGTGCCAACCACCTTCCCCTCCGTGTACTGCAGCAAGGCAGGGCAGGGGGCCAGCACAGCTGCTGAGCAGAGCCTCATCCATCCCACAGCCCCATCTGCAGACTTTGTCCCTTTACACATGAGGGGAGCAGGAATGTGAAACCCCGGCAAATGTCACGGCTCACCATCCCTCCACCAGTGCCCTCCCTTGACCCCTGCAGTGCAGAGCGAGGTAAGCCTGTGTGCAGAGGAGCAGGGATGAGGTCTCACCCCTCACAGGGCTGGGATGGTGGGTCTGAGCAATCCCCATACAAATCTACAACTTGTCCTTGCTCAGAGCTCACTCTGAGAGCTGCACCTTCATGCTGGGCCCACCCAGCTGGTGGCCTGATCAGTCTTAAGGTGCTCATCCACTTGCAGCTGGACCCACAATCCCCTCCCTGAGTGCTGGAGTCCCTGTCTTACCCCCAGCTCTCCTACCTGCTGCGCTCAAACTGGTCAGGAGTCACCAGTCAGGTGCGTGCTCTGCTTCCTACTATTTATTAAAACCAGCCAGTGATCTTTGAGACACTGTTCCCTGCCTCCTGCCCTTCCTCCTGCCCTGCTGAGAAGTTCCCCCGCTTCCCAGCCCCATGGATGCACAGCACCCACCATGCTCCCGTTGGTGCCCTGGTGTGCTGGGTTCCCCAGCTGTGGCAGAGCCAGCACAGTCACCACTGTGCCCAGAGCCATCCCATTCTGGGGACTGTCTACTACAGCCTCAGCTCCTGGTCTCCAGCTACATCCAGGATGCTGCCATGCCTGACCACCCATGTCATGTGCAAGCCAGGGGGCTTCTTGCCACTGGGCACAACCTGGTGCCAACCTCCTGCCAAGACCTGCCTCCCCAGGGCACTGTTGTCCCCCCACGGCTCCCATGGATGTCCACTCCCCAATCCGTGCCCTGGAGCAGGAGTTGTGACCAGGACAAAAAGGTTACCCACAGCCTCTGGTCATGGCATCCAGGGTATTTTCCCCAGACCCTTGCTTACCTGCTGGGAACAGATGTGCTATGCTCTGTGGACTACCCTGGTCTCACACAAATCGCACAGACCCAGGTGTTATCTTGTTCCAAAGGTCCCCCGCGGGCGCTACAGTCCCACTGAACCCATCACACCTCCCTGGGCTGTACCACAACTTAGAGTTGCTTGCAGGGAATTTCTGAGTCACATTTGGCCCAGGCCCATGGGGACACGGCAGCGGAAATCCAGGCTCAAATTTCTGACTGGTAGCAAGGTGTGTGCAAAGGCAGGGGGCAGGGCCAGGCATTAGACAATCCTGGGTCCCCTGGGTGGTGGGATAGGGCTGAGAAGCAGCAGGAGCAGTGACATCCAGGACCACAATCTCCAGAGTTGGAGCAACTTGTCTCCGTCCCTGGTGCCTTATTGGGGCAGCCTGTGGCCACCTTGGCTCTCTCTGCAGTGAGCACAACCCAAGTCCCACAGCCTTCAGTGAGGCTAAGCCTCTTCCCTCAACCCATCCCTGGCCCTCCCTGTCCACCCTCGTGTCCATCAGTGTCAGGTAAAGGCATGTCCAACAGAGGCACCCACATGTGACTGCTGCCTCATTTATCCACTCCCCATCATCTATGCACTCCCCCAGCACAGAATGAGAGGCCATCACAGGGCTCCAGCTCCAAAGCAGATAACACCCCATGTCATTTATTGCCCCTTTATCACTGCTCCTGTCCCCGCCCATGCCATTCCTTCCCACACTCCAGCCCCGCACGTGCACCCCAGGCTGGTCACTCTGCCTGTGGCACCTCCTCGCCACTGCAGCCCCCCAACAGCTCTCCCTGGCCCTCACCCCCAGCCAGCCTCTGGAAGGACTGCAGGACAGGAGTACAGCTCCTGGCACTGCCAGCACAACTCCTGAAGGCTGCCCTGCACTCACTCCCAGCAGCTCAGGTGACAGAGCTCATAAGGCACAAAGGGATGACAATTGATGGTGACCTTCGCTCAGGGCGCCGTGGATCAATGCTGCCCTTTGGCTCACCTGCTATTTCCTCTTCAACAGGAGGGGAGGGACGGAGGGCACAGGATCATGCTCAGCCTTCTCTGCCCACACTTCCTTATCCTTGCTGGCAGCTAGCTTGACCCTGCTGAGGTCACGCAGCCTTTGGAAAATGGATCTTCCTCCCTTATCCTAGGTCAGGCTGGGAATGCTGCCAGCTGCCAGGCATGAGCCCCACAGCTCACCACAGCCACTGTGGCATTGCAGCTCTGCCAGCCAGGCCTGGAGCCACTGCCACCCCCATCTCTGGGCGAACAGCCCGGACACAGCCCGTCAATCACCTCACCTGAAGTCCCCAGCCCCTGGTCACCTTGCCTCAGGCCACAGGGACTCCCAGGCAGCCTAGGAACTGGCCATGAGCTCCTGCCCAAGCCCCCTCCCAACACCACCTTGAGCCCAGGTGCTGCATCCATAGCCCCAGCCATGAATCCCCAGCAGAGGGAGAGAGAGCACAGAGGCCAACACCATTTTATAGACTTTTATTTCCAAATCTGGCGCTTCCATTATACACTTTTACACAGCCAAAAGGGGGGTGTGGGCATCTCCCCACTCCCTGCCAACAGAGTCAGGAGACAGAGAGAGGAAAAAAACCCCAACCAAATCCCCTAAAGGAAAAAATCCAAACTCAAGGAGGATGCTCCCCAGAGCCCAGGTCACAGCACTACAATCAGGGACCAAGCTGCAGACTGGTCTGAAAGAAGCAGATTTCTGCTTCTTGACTGGCCCAGCTCCACAGGGATGGCCACCATCTCTGCTGCTCTCTTCTTTTTGGCACTTGACACTTGCTCTCCTTTTGGCAGCAGCACAAAGAGCCCTGTGCCCAACTTGGCAGAAACACGGGCCCTACAGCACAGCAGGGACAGGATCCCAGGACTCTGGTGCTGGCATTGCACAGCTGGAGAGAAACTTGTAAACGAGCTTGTTTCCAAAGGCAAAGATGGGCAGCATGGAGGTGCCTGGCTGCTCCCAGCAAGGGGGGCCAGCAGGCTTTCCCTCTGCACACTGGTCCCAAATGGCATGTAAACATGTCAGCAGGCCTTTCTCTCCTCATCCTTGGGAAAAGGATGACAGGGAACCTGCCTCATCAGGGCTGTGCTGGGGACCCAGGGCACCCCCAGTCAGCAGCCCTTCTGTTCCCTCCATACTCTCCCCACTGACTCGGGGAGGCAGCCAAGAGGCCTTGGCCTCCCTAGAGACATGAGGACGGCAGCATGGGTCCTCTCCTGTAAACATGGCAGGCTGGGCTACAGTAAGATGCCACGGCAGTGTGGTAGTAAGGCAGTAAAGAGCACATGGTCATGCCCCGAGAGCACCTGGGGGGTGAAAAAGGGAACGTGCTGGCCCCGCTGAGCCAAACAGCCTGGCCTGAGGCTGGGGTGGGCACAGAGGAGTGCCACCTCACAGCACAGCCAGGGGTCAGGTCCCAGGCTGAGCAGACACCATCTGGGCAGCCTGAATTTCCGGAGAGGGGAAAGTGCTGTTTATCTCCATCTCCCAAAATTCAGGTCACTCTGAGCTAGAGTCCTTTGCTACTCAGGGGAGAGCAGGTGTACACAGAGCCCCCAGGGAACCAGCTAGATACAACTTCTGAGGGCAGTGCTGGACCCTACAACTGGAGCCACATCATGCTCCTGTGGATGTTAGTCCTCTGCAGAGTGAGGACTGGCTCTGGGAAAAGCCAAGCCTGCTGCTAAGCAGGGCAAAGGTCATCCAGCTCCCTTACCAGACCCGCAGACCAACAGAAGTTTGTTCTGTAACATGCAGGTTAAAGAGCACAACACCCAGTGGGTAAAAACACAGTGCTCATTGCTGAGCCAAGGAAACCAGCACTGATGAGAGTGGGACCATCCTGGCACAGGACAGGACTGCACAGCAGAGCTTGTCTCCTTCCCAGCAGGTTCCTAGTGCCGAATTTGCTGCCCTGTCCACACGTGCTCTTGCTGGCACACAGCCCCAGCTCACAGAGGGGCAGCCCCACGGGGTGATGCCATGGCAGGGCAGAGGGAGGCCTGGCTGCAGGGGCCGAGGGACCAGGCAGGAAGAGACAGAGTTTGGAGCTGCACAGTGGGAGGGCAGGGGGGCAACGGGGCCAGCTGCCCTGCAGGGGGGATGGGACAAAGCAGTGCCAGCAAAGCCTTAAAGACTGCCTGGCACTGTTTCTCCAGTCCACTGGGATTATGTTCTAGTAGCCCCAGGGAACTGGCAAGGGGCTGTTGGTGAAACAAATGCTCCAGGTCCTGGGAACGTACCATCCGTAAAAATAACCATAGAAATTTCTCTTCTCTCTGATTACAAAGATACAAAAGGATAGAAAACCCTCCCTGCCCCCATGTCCTAGGCTCCATTTCTGTCTCCCTGCCACTGCCCACCCTTCACACACACACAGGCACACCCCACACACAAACAGCTCGCAGAGAAAGAGCTCGGCCCCAATGGGTCGGAGATGCCACGCTCGCTCAGTACTACCTGTCACACCAGGCAGGTGATGGAGAGCATGGTGGCAGCTGAGAGCCTGGAGGCTCCTGGCAGTGGTGGTGTGGGCTGCTGGCCCCTGAGCCCACAGGGCAGGGGAAAGCAGGGTTGGTTTTGGGCCTCTGACAACCATCAGTTCTGGCCCCTGCTCCATGGGGATACCAAACCTCAGCTGGCAGTGCCTGGTGAAGAGCCCTGCTTCTTCCATCTCTCTTGTGATCAGTTTTGGCCCCTCAGGAATGGCCGTCGTTTCTCATTATTCTTCTCAGAGGAAAGAAAAACAGTGTTAAGCCATGGCATCTCTCCTGGGTTCCAGCACCCTTTCCCCACTATGCCAGATGAGGACAGGGCAGAAAACCTCTCCTGTGCCAGGGCAGGAACAACTGTCTCCAAGTCCCTGAGATAAGGGAAGAGGGAAGGAGGGATGGGGTGGGGTGGAGTGGGAGTAATACCATCAGGAAGCAGAGCTAGAGGGAAAAAGTGACATACTGGAACAGGGTGCCTGGGGAGAAATGTGGCTGGGGAAGGCAGGGCTTCCCTAGGACTTGGGCTCCCTCCTCTCCAGCCAGCCTGGCCCTTGCATACATCCATTGGGACTTAGAGCCAGCACTGACCAAGGGATCAGCCCAGAGGCCAGCCTAGCTGCACAGAGCATCTTTCCTGAGTACCCACAGGCCACAAGCAAGGGCCATCATCTCTTGGGCAGAGAGGACAGACTCAAATACACAGAGGCTTTTGCTTGTGCTGCACCACAGCATCTGGAGCTGTCATACATGAGGCTTCTCCCTGCCCAGTGACTCTTCAGTCCAGGAGACGCCTGTCACTCACCCAGGGAGCTCACCCTTACACAACCCTCTCCCTCCAAACTAAACACCTTTGGGAAGGAGCCAGGCAGGTGGACAATGCACAAGATCAGCTGAACAAGATCTGGCCGAGGAAGGAAGGAAACCACTTACTCTGAGTCTGGTGACAGCTCTGAAATGCTGTGGGAGGTGGCAGAATGAGGTGTTGAGGGACACACTGCAGAGGGCGTTGAGGTCTGCATGGCAGAGGGGGTGGCGGTGGTCTGGGGGCCTGAAGGTGTGCTGGAAGATTGCACCGAGGACAGGACGGAGGAGTTAAAGGAAGCAAGGATGGAAGAAAGGATATCTAACTGTTCAGTGGAAGGATGTCGGCTGGGAATGGTCTCCAGGTTCTCCCTGGAATGC